TAACTTATGTTATCTATATAGACCTAAATTATTTAGTAGTAGTTAGTATCTATATTAAGAAGATATTTTAGCTTAAGTACCTTTACTTATATATAATAATAGATTAATATAATATTAATCTAATACTAAATAAATATTTATATTAAAAGATAATAAATTTTAATTAATAGAGTTATAAGTTATTATTAAAGGTAATAGTATAGTTTCTATACTATAGTAGTATATAGATTATATATATAAACCTAAACTATTTATAAGTAATATTATAAATATATAATAACTTAATATAAATAAGTTATATATAACTATAAGTTAGTTTCTAGGTAGATATAGTATATATTTAATATAATACTAAGTTATATCTATTTATTTTTAGTATTAATTAAGACTTTAGTTAATAGAGTTTTAGTAGAGTTATAATATTAACCTGAAGCTATCTAGCTATAAAGCCGCCGCTAAACGTATAGACTACTAGTCTAACTAGGCTATAATTTTTTTTATAGTATATCTCTATATAGTAGACTAATATAAGCTATAAAAATCGACTTAGAAAGCTCTTAGTTAAAGAGTTATTAGTTATCTTTATCTCTATAGACTTTTTACTTTACTAGAAGTAAATATATATATAACCTTAAATATTATTTTATAATCTTATAGTTCTACTTTTTAGCTTTAAAATAAGCCTCTATACGTCTCTCTAGCTCTACTATAGAGATTATTATTAAGTATTCTTTATAACTCTAAGGCCTAACTCTAGAGTTATAGGCTCCGGCTAAGCTCTAACTTAAAACCCTTATAACTCGAGCTATACTTAACCGAATTAGGTAATTTTTAGTTCTATAGATAGTACTTTAGCTATAGTATCTTATATAAAATTATTAGTATAGTGTTCTATAGTAGAAATCGAGAGTTCTAAGTACTTTAAGATAACTTAGAACCTTAAGAGAGTTCTAAGTTTACTAGATATAGAGTAGATAGTATAAGTTTTACATATAATATAGACGAAGAATATTATTATCTACTATTAAGTTTTACTAGTAGCGACAGAACGATCTTATTAAATCTAGTACTTATACCTTGTAGCGAAGTACGAATTATAAGTTAATTTCCAACTTCCTACTTTATAGCGTAATTATTTTAAGCTAAACTAGCTCGTTGCCTATTGATTAAGCACATCGCCACAGGTCTTTAGTACTATTGCTTTGCTCGAGCAATTTTAAAAACGTAGAGTATACCTGTATGTATGCAATAAAGCAGCTTGCGGCGAGATTAATACCAGAGACGACGGCATTAAATGGCGCTGTCGTGATTGTAAAAGCGTCTTCGCGGGGAAAACACTCGCTCCTCACGGTTGAATGATCTTCGACTTACAGCTCCTCGGGATTTCCATTTATGCTCATCACTAGAGTATTTCTCACTAGCGTGGCATTATACGAGAAGTCTTCGAGGCAGTACCACAACATACTGGTTGTTTTAACGTCTAAACACCTGGTTTTCGGTCAATGGACTTGAGTATAAATTGCGCTTGATTTGTGTTCATGGAGGCTTTTTGTCAGCATTCAAATTAACGTAGGACGTCCACTATCTGTGCAGCATCTGTATATTACTTCGTTGTCGCAGTACCATCGACAATTTCCGAATCGGTTTCGGTTTACCAAAGCTCTCTTTTTTGTCACATTTATCTACGTGTAAACAGGGCTGGCTTCACTATCTGTCAGATGCTTTGCCCCCAATACTTTACAAGAGATTCTTAAGTTGAGTCTTCTCTAGAGCATAGTGTAAGTCAAATATTGGGATCCGCTCAGGAACATCTTTGCGTATCCAGCATCCCAAAAGACGTATTAAGTCGACCAAGAAATGCTAGGTAAGTAAAGATTGGATGAAGTTGCTTATTGTCTGCCAGGTGTATCACCTTTTCACATCTCAAAATCCTGAGACGATTTCACCAGTGTATAAGTATTGTCGTCCGCGTATTGTGCCGCGCACCTCGACTTGTCGCTAGTCTCTAATGTTCCAGATCGCTTCGCATGTGGTCCCCCACCATTTTTCTCACCTCACGACTTCAGCTTCCAGATTGAAATTAAACAAACTCGATTTATGGCAGTAAGTTTCTGATTCTTCTGGCTGCAGTAAAAGAACTACGATCCACATCCTCCAACGATGATGTCATAACCAACGAGACAACCGCAGAAAAGGCTGCCGAACTGCTAATGTGAACTCTTCTCAACTTTAGGGGGCTGGCGGCTCATGGATGGATGAAGTCGCTGAATCAGACACAGAGCGGGATCATGGCTTCTGCGATGGCGCCACCTAAAGGTATCTGTCTTTTCGGCCGTCATGATTTGTCTATGCCAATCGAATTCCAGAGGGTGGACAGCATGATCCGTGTATTATCTCCGATCCTGTCGGGAAATTGGATGCTGGCGCCAAAGTATCCGTCAGTCGCGAATTCAAACCCTCTGAAATTGCCAAAAAGAAAAAGAAGCAATTATTTGTGTTCTCAAATTAGCCAAGGTATACTTCAGCTCGCAGTCATTGCGGCTTGGATGGATCGAACACAGTTCCTTAACATAGATAGTTGGTTGTACCAAAGTTTGACCTCCGTCTGGCGCTCTCCCATGAGCTAAAGCCGCTCGATTTTTTGGTCAGATGAAGCGTACGTACTTAGCTCTATATTATCACTATAGCTACATCCAACTTTACTGTCCGCGGCTTCTGTTTCAGAGGTTTAGACGTGAGCAGCGGCTGGTTCAACCTGATTTAAGGGTGGGGAGCATTCTGAGGCTGGCATTTAACCCTTCTAATATCATTCACAGCTTCCTTATATATCAGCCATGTTTATATCCTTGGTTTAAAAATCTTAGGCCTGTAATTACCTACACGCCTCGATACAAATATTTGTCTTGCCATAGGAAACATCTATATCTTATCTCCCCAAGTTGTGTCTTGAAAAAAGAGTAAATGTTAGTTAAATCGAGAAGCCCGCTTAAGGAACAATAAATAACGTCCTTCTGTCGATCTACGTATATACTTTTCGAAGTTGCGGCATGTATAGTGATAAGGTGTTGGAAAAAAGCAATAAAGTTGCTGGCAGCTAGTGAGGTCTCTTGATCCTTCTCTTTTTCATTGGATCCGCCCGTCTCTTTGCTGAAGCATCTGCCGACGTGGGTAACGGTCGGGAAGCACACAAGCCCAATGGCTGCATGGTATGTTAAGTTTTGGCGGTTGACGTTGCCAAATCCAGTAGACTTAGTCGCTACTCTCAAAAGTTCTCTCATTGTCGCTAGTATTGATTAAAAATTCCAGCTTGAACCAGTCTTTAATAAACCAACGCCTTTGAAGCCATCCGTTCTTATATATGAAATCATTCAATCCATATTGAAGGTCTCTCTTTAAATCTAATGAATGATTCGTTTTTAGAAATCGGAAATCAGAAATAACAGAGTCGATCAAGCTGTTTTGCCGCTGTCTGAGATTTTCCACTTGGCCATTGTCCAACTCTACAACACTCGATCCAATGAGCAAAAGCCATAACAGAAGGTCCATATGCTGCAACCATATACTATCTGGATATTCAGGACCGAACAGAGCTGTAGATTCTAGTATGTCAAGCAACTTTGCTGCCAGCTTGCATTGAATCAGACTGTCATTCCAAGTCTCCATCCAAATGCAATAGTAACACATGAATACACCAAGCCTCACAGCTTCAGCGACAACTCCAATATCCACGCATGCATGAGCCAGAGCCGCCAGTTGAGATTGAATCGATGCCTGCAATGGGTCAACCGGATCTTGTGTGGTGTTTAGTGACGATAAGGATCTGGTTTCCAGTTGAAGAAAGGACTGGAGCTCAACAGTATCAACAATGCACCCCAAAAGGCCATCAGGAAGGGAAGCTTTGTGTCGTGCAAAACCAGTCGGGGGTTCCATTTTCCTGTCGGGGAGGTTTTGGCGTTGCCGTATTGCTAATTGAGGAAACTCTATGTGCTCGGCCCGTTTACAGTCCATTACCAAGGCGGCGCTGAGATTTAACCAAAAAGTTGCGCGTCTGGCGGCTTGTGTCAGTGCGATGTCATTGACGGTAGAGATCTCGAGTGCGTTCATTAGCCCTGCAGTGTGGGCGATATGCCCAGAACGATCTCCAGTCTTGTATGCCGTGGCTTTCAGAATCATAATGGCTCCTAACACTGGTGGTGAAAGCGTCTGATTCGGAGAGGTGAGCTTCTCCTGCAACAATTTGAGGGTTTTTTCTTGAAGTGAGAGCCCCTCCATGGTCGTCTTTCCGCGATTGAGGATCTGCACAGTCGCGTAAAGAAGAGCGTTGATGAAGACCGGCTCTTCTTGGCTTTGTGGAAACACAGCTCGCATATTGAGGGGCGAGTCAACATGGCTACTGTCAAAAACAGGATATGCCGCGGAAAGAAAGGCTTCTGATTTGAGAAGAGTATCAATACGATGGACCGGGAGCCGCACATACTTCGCAACGTACTCGATCAACGGATGATGTGGTTCCAATGAGCGTACAGGACTGGATGACCTTTTTAAGGTCTGGAATGGAAAACCCTGTACTACGGGAAAATAAATTGTGCCCATTGTCGGTGAATCAGTCATGCTGCGGAAGCTGAGAGTGGATGAATTGGAACCAGACGGTCTCGAGCGAGTAACTAGAGTATTGTTTTCGAAGTCGTCGCATCTGCATGTCTGGATCCCCTCGTGACACTTGCACTCATCCTTCCCATGAGCATGGTCGTCACCAGTAACCTCAACAGCGAAGTCATGTACACTTGCAACCTGAAAGTATCGTCGATCTCTAGTCTCGCTGAAAAATGTCTGTAACTTGCAAGCTTCCCACAAAGGCTGCTCGCCTCTCCGACGCCCATGTTGGGAGGCGGCATGACGTTGCAGAAGCTCGAGACTTGTTGATAGAAAATAACCCCGGCAGGCTGTACAGTTCCAGCCATTCCATACTTTCAAGTGTCGGATAGGAGGGGAAATAGGCTGTATCTCAACAGCGGGCGTGGCCTCGAGCGTTTCTTTGAGAGAGCGTAGAGACAGCTTAGAAAAGGCCGAGATGGCTTGTTTCAGGGTTTCACCCCCGCAACGATGGTCTTCGCTGCGCAAGTGCCGTTTGATCGCTTGTTTTGTCGGATGCACGCCACTGCCATGTCGTTTGCAGATAAGGAACTTGAAAGTTGGCTCGAAGTATAACTCGTCCACGTTGGCCATACTTGGTGTTGTGTCATTAGGAATTGGGTAAGTGGGGTTGTCTTGGAATGCGCGGCATGCTTTTTTGCTTTCTTGGAATGCGTCGTACTCCTGGAATACGCCGCACTCTGGCAACCCGTAAGCGCATACTTACATAAGCCTGCCAGTTAAATCGACAGAACTCCAGGCCCACGCTCTATGATTAGAAATCTTGCACTGATTCAACAGTAAAATGAATTACCAAGTGACAGAATATAGGAAAGCGATCATTATGGACAAAGATATAAAGTCCCTCAAGACGGCTGTATCTCCAGCCATCTCATCTTCATTAACATCTCCTCCACTTTCACAGCAACATACAGCTCTCAAAGAAAAGCAACAGCCTCCGAATTCCTTATATTTTAAGAGTTTATCACATCATCTCAAAACACCATATAAATCATATCGCAATGGCAGCCACTGCAGATAGATCAAAGCCCTTCATTCCCCTGTCCGGGATTGCTGAGGATGGCTGGTCCAGCGAGAATGAAGCCACAGCAACATGTCTCTGCGGTGCTGTACAGCTTGTTTTTGTAAGTTCACCGTCATCATCACTTCATCCTGATCTGCCTTCTCAAGTCTAACATAACCAGCCTACCCAAGGTCCAGGCCTAGTCAATGCCTTTGTCTGTAACTGCTACGATTGCCGTAAGATCACCGCCTCAATGTTCGCATCAAATGTCACTATTCGAGATCCATACCTCAAGTACGTGCGCGGCCGCGACAACGTATCAGTATACGGTCAAGCAAAAACACCAACCACAGGCAAGGCGATGACAAATTACTTTTGCAAGACGTGTGGCACGCTCATGAACCGCATTGGAGATGCCTTCCCGGGCATGAATTTCATACGCCTGGGTACGGTTGACGATTTTAATCTACACGAGACGAAATTGAGGCCGACGGTAGAACATTTTACCAAAGATCGTGTGAGCTGGTTTCCTGGTATGCCCGGAGAGAATATCACGGCATTCAAGGGATTCGGGACCAATGATGTGTAGCTGGTCGCGGGCATGGTCGTACCTGGGTCGTACCCCCAGGGTACTCTGGCTGGGGACCAGACACGAGTGATGGGGTTGGATGACAATTAGAGGATTAGTCTGCGTTAAGAAGGGAGAATTAAAATTGTAAATAAAGACAGGAAAAAGCTTTATACCAAACATCAGAAAACCTCTCCCGTTGAATGAATAAATCATGATCTACTATTTTCGGTAAATTCGTATAGAATAGCTTAGGTCGATTGTTATGGAGATCAAGTTCGGGATTCTTCGGAGCCCGTTTATACTTCCCGTACACTTAATATTATTAACAAAAAGTAATAGTTATAAAAATAAACGACTCTATTCTAACTTTAATCTAATCTTAGATTAAATACAAAAGACAATAGTAGAGATTTCTTAGGAGCTAATTAGACTATTTTTCGACAGAAGAATATAGTAAAGATTTAATCGAATTTAGAAGCGGTCTTCTTTTACGTTCTATCTAGGTTTATTATATACTCGCTATAAAATTCTAAAGATATTAAGATATACTTAGATTAAGTTCTATTCTAGGTTCTAGTAGTTTTAACCTAAAATGTTAAACTAGGAAAATATTAGAAAGTTAAAAGAGAAGTACGACTTTAATAAGAGCGGTATATAGTATACTTAAAATGTTTAGCGTCGGGCTAGTGTAAGTTTGTTATATTTTAGTTTATTTGTCTTCCGTTTCTTCGATAAAATGTTTATAAATTCGGATCAATTGCAACAACGCTTCCGAAGTTGGTTCCGGCTCAGATGTGTCGCTGTTACACCCGGAAAGACAACCGCAATTGATGTGTGGCCAAAACTACGATTGACATATACGTAGGGTTAGATTGGTGCGTACGAATCTTTAGTAGATAGCAATCAGAGTCCTCAACTCAGGGTCACTAGTGCCGGATGAGATGTGAGTTTGCTCTCCGAGGCCGTGAGAAACTTCTAGGGTATGGTTGTCCTATCAAATGCTGTTCCGCGATCAAAAATCGACTGCTCTTCCGTGGATCATGTAGCGAGGTGGTTTGGCCAGTTGACAATGGGGACTTATGGGGACATATCTGGCAGGGTATCCCACGCCTAATGCAGATTCCGCTCTTCTGGGTTGCCCCAAATGTGATGCGTTTCGTCGGGGTCAACCGCGCGAATATAGGCTTATAGCCCAGCTGCGATTCGGACATAAAATAAAAGGCTCGGAACGACGGACCTCCGAAGTGTACCATGTTACATCTCGTATTCCGATAATCTGGCATCGCGACTCGACGGCGGAAGAAGAGTCTACGATAATCCGGCATGAATCTGTTGATTGAGGTCATCAAAGGGACGTAGAAGATGCGAAGTCTATCGATCCGACCGGCCACATAGTACTGTATCCGTGTATGAATGGGCTGAACATCAGACTTCGTCAAGCCATAATTTTACTAGTTGCACAAAAATAGCGTGCTAGAACTAAAAATTGTAGTTATTGACAATACTCTCCGCGAGCCCTCCTCCAGTACTTCTACAATACCAAGGACTAATTTTGATTTACCACCGCAAGATCTTTTGCACAAGAAAAAAGAAAACATTCCATTTCCCCAATGGCAGCCCGCTTCGACCGGCTCATCAGGTTCAAGAACACTGCCGGACAGATCTACTATGGTGAACTTGGGCTGGAATGTCCAGCGTCAAAGGAAACGCTTGTGGGAATGCGAGTCAAAGTGTTCGGCGGCGGACTACCATGGGATACGGGCTTTCAATTGAGCTCCATCGAAGAGGAAATTGACGAGGTGAGCCTTGCCTGTCTAGTCTGAGCTTACTTTGACCAGAGACATCTAGATTATTTGTCCTATTCCATGTACGCCTATTTTTCAATGTGTAGGCTTGAATTATCGGAAGCATGTTCTTGAGGCAGGGGTAAGTGTTTCACTTTACAGCGAAGACTTCTCAATGTAGTTCATACCACTCTAGTTTCCCATAGATGAATTCCCAACCATCTTCACGAAACCTCCAGGTAAGAAAGGTCTCTAGCTGTCGCCAAAAGCAACCTTTTTAAAGTGTTTTGTAGATGCTCTTGGTGGTCCATACGAACCGATTCCAATCCATGCCAGTTGCAAGTTTATGGACTATGTGGTGAATCTATAAACTCTTCCGCTTGAAACCAATATTTCTTACAACGAATAGGCTGAGCTCTGCGCAATCATCAGAAAAGACTGTAAAAATGTCATCACAGATGAAGCAGCTTTGTCTTGTATCTTAGGATACACCGCGGGCAATGATATCTCTTCGCGTTATTGGCAAATGCCAGAACGCTGTGGTAATCAACACGGTCCATCAAAGTCATTTGACAAGTTTGCGCCCATAGGACCCACGATCTTGAGCCCAAGAGCCTTTCAGGAGAACTTCAACGGGCTGGCAATCAAAACATATGTCAATGAAGACCTTAGACAGGATGCAAGAACCGATGACCATATCTTCACATTGGGAAAGGTCATCTGCCACATTTCACGTGGTGCGACACTGAGAAAAGGAACAGTCATCATGACTGGCACCCCGGCGCGTGTAGCAGCTTTCATGAAGCCGCCACAGTGGTTAAAGGATGGTGATGTAGTCACCGTGAAAGTTGAAAAGATTGGCAGCATATCGAATGTTATGAAATTTGAGTGATTATAAAAGCATGTTGCAGTTTGTTCCAAATGCGACTTTCAATATCTGTTTGAGATCTTGTTACGATGAGATCTGATACTTTTGTGCTCCTGATAGACTGTGACCAAGAGAGCCTACTAATACAATTACAAGAGAGGTTTCCGAAAGGACAAAGTAGAGATCATGTAACACATGCTCATAGAGAATGAATACCGCATTTGAACACTTTTATCATATTTCTCAGTCAGAGGGACAGTTGCAGCGGTTAATAGTTCCGCAATAACGCAATGTAATTAAAGTGTAGCTGAGGATTTGCCAATAATTTGGGGTGGCCGTCGGAACATCGCATCAAAACACATCCCATTAATTGCGGGACATATCGCCAAAACAGATTACCTTAGTTCTATTCCTATGAACTAAATAGAGAATTTATTGAATATTATTTGAGAGTGACCGGCTTTCTGCTAGGGCTTAATCACTTTCTCATTGGGTTTGCAAAGCCTGCAATAGAGGAGCAGTATCCTAACACCAGGTCGTCAGAGATGTGATCGTAGGAGGATTGAAGATCTCTTACAGCCCAAACCTGATACAGAACTACGCGCAGGGTGCCAGGCTCTATTTCTGCAAACAGAGCCCGTGCCGTGAACTCACCACAGATGCGTTTACCATTTTTCAATAACATCTCGAGGCTTCCGATGAGCAAAAAATCGAGTGCCTGACTATCATTGGTATAAACTCTTTGGACTTTATGGCGCCGCTGAATGACAGCTTTCCAGGCATGATCTCTACACTTTCGGATATCTACAACACGTCAAAATCTGACACGTCAAGTAAATGAGACTGGGACGGCCCAAAGAATTCGTTTGGTGTATTGGGGCTGCTTGCCTTCAGAGCCATTGTAACTTCCCTGAACACTCTCCAAGACACCATTAGAGGTGAAGATGTCGTCTGCCAAAGTATCTCCTGCCGACACTTGATCGTCGTCCATGGTTATGAAAAGGTTTTCTAGAAGTGCTTTCGTTTCAGCAGAGGGTATGGTTAATGGCCAAGCAGTATTAGCCGTACAGTATACCATAGCTGTTAGGCACGGATTTAAGTTCTAGGTGAAAATATTTGGATCGATTGTAAGCGTTTAGATAGGTATGCTAAACAATCAGTTTAATAACAGATAATGTATTTCTGAGCCATCAAACATGACAGCGGAGAAGAGTCCTTAATAGTAAAAATCGCAGTTTGTCCTTAAGATTTGGTTGACGGAGCTCGGATGGCGCATTGTTGAGGATGTACAGATGCTCCCCTTGACTTGTCGACGGTGGGACAATTCTGGCTCTCCGACTGGACCGGAACAAAGGATGACTCTGGAGTCTAAAATAACCAGATTTTCTGCAAATTCGGTCCAACAATCGACTTTAGGTGTAGAGACGACTTATCAATAGGACAGGCATTATTCCTCTTCATTGGTCTGTTCAACGTTTAGCGCTCCTTTCATGGATAATCTAGAGATTGATTCCCCATAGCAACGAACCCAAGGCATGGCAAATAGCTGGATCAAACAAATCCAAGTCTCTTCGTTGGTAAATCTTGGCTTAGAATATTAAGATTATATTAAAGACAGCTCTTCGAGCCTTGCTACATCTTCAAAATCAGGACGAGGACAGATGTCACTCTAGAAAGATTCTCGATTGAAACCCTCAGCGATCTCTTTTTATACTTCAAAAAGTGCTCCAAAAGTCACGAAGTCTCATCAATTAAAATCGTAATTACATGCGCTTTTTAATTTCATTTCGTTTTGAAGACCCAAGCAACATTTCATGTGCCTGGCGTGAAAGGAACGCCTGTAGGCGGAACAACTACAATCGGAACCGAAATGAAAACTACCATAACAGCAGAAAATCTGAAAGCTTATTAGCGAGCATCACAAGAGTCAAACTGGAACTACTTACGCAGCGGTTGCACCAAAGATCTCTACCCGGGTCGCAGTACCTAAAAATATCAAACCCACAGCAAAGACTGTCGCAAAACCTGCCAAACAGAGCAATAAATCTCTTGTTTCGTGCAATTGGGAGAGGACTGTGATAGCAATCGTTGGTAACAGGCAAGCTACGATTGTCGAGATTGAAGAGGTGACACGCAATATGTTATTTTCGGAATACGATGTCAGAGTCTCTTCTTCCAGTTCTGCCTGGGTCTTCAGTTTGACTTTTGTCTTCGATGAGCCAGACTTAATGGATGCCTTTTCAGCATCATCGCTAGACTTTGTCTTCTTCGCTTGCTTCTCCCGTCTATAATCTTTCAAATTCTGCCAAAATGGCACGAAATCTATGACAACCCAGCGAGAAAATCCATCGATTTTCCGTGGCGGCACGCAAGAAGCGAGGTCCAGATTCTTCTTAGTGGATGTACTGCTGTGCCAGAAGAATCGCCAAATCATCTGCCAGAATTGATGAGAAAGTGAAGGTGGAGGTGGATCGGTCGAATAAAGATCTCCCCACGTGTGATGTTCATTTCTACCCCCAATGCAAAAGTCGCCCGCGTCTTTGTTTCGCAGCCATGTCCGGAGCGACTCGACGTTATAATTGTCTGGTTGTTGCAGTGCTGAGACTTGAGAAAATTGAAGAAGAGCCTCATCTATCAGCATGGAGAGTTAGCAATGTTGTATTGATAGGAGGTTAAAGGTACACACTATATTCTTTCAACACTGCCCTCATTCTTACGACCACATCCCATTGTCTGTGGTTCTCTTGGTATTTTGATTGAACCAGCCAGTCAGCTCTCTTTGCATATTTTTGAGCATCCCCAGCTCCTCGTCTATAATCTTCCAGTTCCTCTTCCCTTAATTCTGCTTTCAAAATCTCCAACTCCGCTTGGTAGTACAGCAAGCTTTTGATTTGAAAATTGCTAAACCGATTGAAACATGCGAAGTCTGGAACATTGGACATCAATTCGGCTACTTGAGGCCACCCAGGGACTGGATTTTTTGGTTCATCTTCAAAATTGTCAGGGTCGCTCATGGGGTTGTACTGTGGATGACCTGGCAATAGACGGTTTCGTCCAGGGGACTCAGGATCAACTGCCGTTTTTGATCTCGCCGAATCATTTGTTAAATGACTTGCTAATGAAGAGTTATCTTCGCTTCTTCTTGTATGATCAAGACCAGGGCCAGAATCGCCTTGCAGAGAATTGCGTGTCATCTTGACTGATAAGCGCTGCCAAAGCGAAACAAAATGAAAACCAATCCAAGTATCATTCGATTCAATACATCAAGATTCAAAAATTCTGCGCAGGCTTCGAAATCGCCGGAAGACGCAAAATCTGAGCTAAAAGCTGGTTGGTTTGGCGGTATAGTAAGCCGCCTCGAAATCTGCCTTGCGATAGATAACGTACGACTGGCTGGTCTGTACACTCCATCGACAGCTAATAGGCATCGAATGTGTTGGCTGACATGCAGCCTCCCACATCTCGTGGACTGAAGTAGCAAATAAGATCTCTGGAGCGACATTTCTGTGTGTTTTTGCATCGCCTCCACCCGATTCTCGGTCACCCGCTCTCATAATACAGCACAGCTAGCAGCAGCTTCATTCTGCCAACAGAACAGTAGCGCCTATGAAAGTTAATAAATGCCGTTTATCAACAGTATATTTCCTGAAATGAAGGACTCGATATTTCCCCCAACATAAATTCTTATTCATTCCTTTTTTTGCCTGCAACAGATGTGTACAACCTATGGCAGAGCGATTTATCGCTGCGTGCGTTGCCATTTTGCAGAGTTATAATCCGAACACATGAGATAAAACAGCTGATGCGCGCCTTGAGATGCCTTGAGAAGATTTCTCGGGATACTCCGTAAAGGTCAGAGCCTGTGGCGTTTAAGACAAAAGCAGGCGATCAGGCAGGTGTAGGCAGCTACTCCGTAATCTTACGGGCGCACGATGATTCTCCAGCCTCATCCAACGCGCACAGCCAAGATCCCGGCCCTACCGAGAAGCAAGGCTTGTTTGATATGACACGAGTATCTTTGTTTCTGCTTCTCTGCAACAGACAACTAGCTGCATCATTGAAATGCACGGTGTGTTGGCGGCCGAGTGTGCTGGAAACCATGAAGACTGTACTTGTAGGTTATTAAGGTCTGGACCTGTCCAGTTTTGTTACTTCGTAACACGGCTTCATGGACTTTGACACAAAGTGACAAAAATCAACGTTGACATGTAAGTAAATACCGATACTGCCAGATACAAGAGCTCACAAAGAATCTTTAACGGCAGTCATCCAGTTATCTAGTGTTGCCTTTATACAACGACCGGACTGGCGATGTGGCATAGGAAGAAAGCCCCCTTCCTCTATGGCCCTCTGGCTGACCAGTGCGACATCATGGAAGATGATAGCGCTCGCGCGCCCGCTTTCGTCTCGTTGACCAGAAATGATCTCGTTTACGAAGGCCAGTCCGAGCAGAATTGATGTCCCTAGCGAAGCCATGGGCTTGGGACAAAACAAAATCGTTTCCAGCTTGGTGGTGGCGACGTTAGAACGGCCCCCAAAGGCCCCCAACCTCTCGGTGTACGGGATCGGGAACAAGTCGAAAAAGAGTGTTGCGGGAGGTCGTTCAATTCCTGGACATGCCGTCTTCCCGTCTTTTTGGCGCCGCCAAAACCATCAGCTGGATGTCATGTGCGGTAAAATGGCCGGATTGTTATCCACCGCTAGGAGGCTCAGCACCAATGAGTGACGTTCACCAGTGCAAAACAGCTCAACGGTGTGCAGCAAACAGAGCCTCACCGAAGAGCCGCTGAAACAAACATTGAATTGAGTCATGAAGCAGAACCATAAGATGGGCTGGACCTGCTAGAATCCAATGACGGAACTTTACCCAACCACAACCATAAATTCTTCGGCCTTTATTCGAATCAAGCACGACGCTCTGGCTCCGGTGTCTTACCCTACTGGGCGAATTGAAACTACAACTCAAGTGCCTAGTACCTATCATGGCTCAGCTCGCTCAACTAAGCAGTCAGTGTACCTCAAAATGTAGCATTGTGTGACCTGCTTTTTCTGACTTTTAATAGCTTCCAGCTCACAGGAACAAAATCAGGACTACCTCTCGATCAACTCAACGCTGAGAAGTCCTACCGACTCGACATCCCAAAACGATACGAGACGCAAATCCATTTCTGCCAGCTCTATTCAGACTTGCACGACACAAGTAGAAGTACAAGAAGAGCTCGGAAGACGCGAAACCAATAAAGGCTACAAAGCATACGAAACCAAAGTCGTAGTACAACTTTCTTGGTGGCAATCCTTCAAGGGAATTTTACGACCATGGAGAACGAAATCGCGAGAAGTTACTGCTGTTGTCGTCGTTGCAGATGAACATGGAGAAACAATGGATATTGACAACTGCCCTTGGATTCCCACGGTTCACGTTCTATCCAGGGAGAAAGATGAGGACGGTCGCTTCGAAGAGAAAATTGCAAAATGTATGATTGACACCGGCAATTTGCAAGGCAATCTGATTTCGAAAGACTTTCTGGTGCAGCATTTGGGACACTCTGAATCCGAGTTCATGCAACTAAAAGAGTCCGAAAAGGCTGGATCTTCCGTTTCGGGTCATCAAGTTACACCGGAAGGTGCTGTTAAGCTCACTTGGTATCACCCGAGTTCTATCATAATATATCGCGACATGAGATTCCTTGTTATGGAAAACGCTATGTACGATATGGTGCTATGTGCGCAGGCTATTGAAAAACACAAGATCGTTAACCCTCCAAATTTTGGCGATGTGATTCACACTTCCACGTCGAAGAACAGTAAGTAAATCAATCTAACAAACATTTGACATTAACCTCAGCTAACAACGCGGTAGCCGATCCTGAAGAAAAAGATCTCAAGGCAGCATTAGAGAAAGCTCAGAACGATTGCGCCACAGAGCAACATGACATCGAGATTGCCAAAGCCAAAGGGGACAAGCCCAAGGTGCAGCGGTGTCAACAGAGGCTCCAATCGAAACAAAAAGAGCTGAAAAGGGCAGAAAAGGCTAGTGACGCATACGCAAAGAGAAAGGAAAAGGCAGAAGAATCGGCAAAATCGAAGACAAAACAAGTCAAGACTGAGGTCTCACAGCAGCTTATGAAGATCACGAAAGTTACAGTTGCAGGAAAAGATTCTAGTTTGAAACGAGCATCGACCTTTACAACTCTTCAAAATAAATGATCACTGGATTTAGGATCTTCCACGGTTTGCGATACGGCGTAATATACGGATTTTGGGCAACCAAACAGGACTGGGGTTTTCTGTGGTGATCTTGGGGTGACAGGAATCGGGTTGTTGGGATACTTCATGGGGCAGGTTGGATCCTTTCGGATGGCGGCATTCTTACTGGGGGGCCTTTCCAGAGGTTTTAGAAAGCTTGAGTAACAATTTGTCGGACGCGATAATCCTCTTTCCAGACTTTTCCGCCAGGAACTAAATAACAATTTTATCCAAATTGCAATCTCCAATATAACCCTCATCCTGTCGTACAGGCGATTACAGTTCAATACTTGTGGTGCCTTGAATGGCCAGTGTCCCAGCATACAAATCTGACGTTGCTGATCGAATTTGCGCGCCAGCACATACAATTGAGATAAAAGTTAACGTCACATCTTTGCCTTGATTTCCAGTGCCTGCAGTCGAGCCCCTTGCACGATTTTACTGCCGACTGGACGTTCCCCAAAAATCTTTTCCGGATGTTGGTTCCGCGTGTCTAATCACAGCCGGTCATATTGTTAAAAAGGTCTACATTGTTAAGTATAATAACGTGATTCCAATGCAAATCATTTGCGCGATTTTTAAACGAGGTCGCCTCCTTCTGGTACATATCATCTCCAAACATGAAAACCTTACCAGCTGTGGATGACAGGCCCTCTCAGTTCATGATCATCGTTAGACTTTGTCGATGGCGAGTCTGGAGTTTCTGCGACTCGATATACTAACTTGGCAGCACTGATTGTACCATGCGACACTTTGGCAATTCTGGGGCAATTAGCCACAATAACAATTTGAAGAGACAATTTGACCAACCCTGCAGGAACTCCTTGAAGTCCACCCTCCATAATAATCGCTGGATGTGGCTTGAATTTTCCCTCCGCTAAGAGCTCTCCGGCCATCTTCCAGAACATCACCCCAAATTTATAATGTTCTTCGATAGCAGGGAAGTCGGTCCCGAACTTCGAAAACGCTTCTCCAAAAGTTGTGTAAGCCAAAACCACTTGGACGTTAACGTCCTTTCTAGGAAATTCATCCGCTGGTAGCAACGTTACCAACATCAACTCAACTCCCTCTTCTGCCTGGGCGGGAAAGGAATCAGCACAGATCTTGAAGCTAGATTCCACAGAAATGGTGTCGAGTATATATTGCAACGAATTGTGGGTGCATTCGCGAATGTTTCTAGCACAATCTGGATCATGGTAGTCAAATACTGCGTCAGCTCCGAGCGACTTGACAAACTCAAAGTTATTTGGGCTTGCTGTAGTAACAACTTTCAAGCCCGAGCTAATTAGAATATCAGTCCACATTTCCAAAAAGCGAAAGGTAGTGACGAACAGTTTCGCGAATTGGATTGCCAGACTTCCAGTAGCACCACTCCCGCCATATATGAGAATCCAAAATGGATGATTAGTAGGCTCAATGGGAAGCGGAAGTTTCAGCGTCATGTAAAGTGATTGTCCCACAGATGTAATTCCCACACCCAATGTTGCAGTTTCTTCGAAGCTAAGGTGCTCGGGAATCTTTGCCAGATGTCCCTCTCTCACTAAGACGATTTCTGCAAATGACCCACTTAGCGGGTTGTTCTATATCAGTCAGTTTGCTTTCTGTTTCATTCGTGGATGAATTACACTATTAGCACAATGACAGGCACCATAGACTTTATCGCCTTTTTTCACGCTGCTCTTGCAGTCTTTGTCAACTTCTTCCACGACCCCAGAAAAATCACAGCCTGGGAAGAAAGATTTCGTTAGCTGAGATTAGACTAGATAGACTTGCGATATTTTCATACCTAAAATACCACCAATAGGCCCTGCGCCGGCAGTGTGATGGAAATCGGCTAGCAACTGTCAGATTCTTGACTGCTTGAGCATGCTGATAATATTGAGGAGGAACGTACATACTGGAGTTTATAGCGACTGCGACTGTTTTGACCTTAATGTAACCTGGACGTAAGGTCAACTCAGGTATTTCTTTGACCCCTGATCTGCCCACATCTTCGATGATAACGGCTTTCATTTTAAAATTCGAGACAATGATTAAAGAAAAACTTTATTTAGTACAACGGAATTGATAAGAAGGATGGCAAGGTGGCGAGGAAAGGTCTGGCTTCTAGGACTTGTTTATACTTGATTGCACAAAAGCTCTTCGGCGCCAACTTTCGGCTTTAAGATATCTTTTCAGGTGATGAACTCATTTTGTTAGAAGAAATAGGATATGGAGGAATCCAACTCCGGCCATGTTGGATGTCAATCAAATTAACTAGTGATCCTGTGGAATACCAACGTTGGTGGCGTCGTAGATTAATCGTGGTACGTCTCAGGCAGCGTCGCGGCGCGTCAAGTAAATTATGTCAAAATAAATCACATCAACTAAATCACGTCAAGTAAATTATGTCAAAAAACCAAATTATCAATGTAACTCGTGGAAATTTTCGAATAGATGGCGAAGGAAACTCGTGTAGGTTGCGCTTCACTTAAGTCCTGTTGATCGACTTTGTTGTACAGTCGAGTTGCATGAACGTGAACGAAACTATCGGCTAATTGTGGATCTTGGAGCCATTTTTAAATGCACCACAATGGCTATGTATTCGCTGGAAGCCCTCCGTTGATGAGCACATTGCTACTTAATGGTAAGGTTGTTTCGGCTTTAACTTGTCAGGCCGAAGTTCAGGGGTCAGGCTCGCTTCGCGTCCGAATAATTTCCTGTACTCTTTACGAGCATTCCACCTAAGCACCCTTATGAGGTAGCTTCTTGATGATGTATCAATATTGATTCAATCGCGTGCTTCTAATCGTTGATTTGCGCCCCGTGAGCTTGGTATCGAAAGCGAGCTACAACATTGATATGAGGCATTCTGTCTGAATAATGTTCATTTTACCTTGCCGATGCATTCATCGCTAGAGGTCGTATTCCACACTCGTCTGCAACTCCGATCGCGTTTATGAACGTGGAAAATTACTCATCGCAAACCCAAGAAGCAACGAATTTGACATTTATCTCGGGCAGTAGGTGGACCCCTTACAATGATACTTTTCTTCAATAACAAAAGCTAAACTTTGGATTCATAAGTAGCTGTGAAGACAAGCTTTTTGTCTTGAAACCGTTGTCTGAATCAATTTTTGACTTGGCCTTGCATCATCAACGGGAGTTCCCAGATAGCTGTCGTCTTCGAATACATAAAGACCACAGCGATAAAAAGAGAACCGTTGTTTACGAATACTTCAAGGATGATTTGCTCGCATTAGTCTGAAACAATGAAGACTTCCCTATCGTCGCAAAAAAAAAGATTCTTTGGGAGGTAGGGAAAGCACTCCAAGAGTTTCATTCCAAGAACTGGATTCATATCGGTAAAATACCCCCCCGACAGTCCCATTCCTTATTTGCAACCATTAATTCCGTTAGACGTAAAGCCTGACAATGTCCTGGTGGACTGGAGTAAGGACCAGTATGGTCAAGTCATCATAGAAAGGGTGGCACTGACCGATCTTGACGTTTCATTGAAATTGAAAGACGATAGATCACTCCGGATCGCTGGTATGCAGAGATTAGGTAATTTCATGTGGCGTAGCCCAGAAGGACAAACTGGTCAAGGAATTGGCAAACCGTCTGATTTGTTTTCGTTTGGTCTTGTGGTGAGTCTATCTAATCTTGGAGCGGAGACTGGGCTGAAGTTAGTGCTCAGTGTATTTTTGCTCTCACGAGTAGAGAAATTATGGCAGTAGCCCACGAGGAGTTGAAAGAGCGGGAAGTTGAACCTGAAATAGAGGTTCTGGGCCGCGACATAGTCTACTTTGGTCCACTTTCGGAAGGATTACTGAAATATACCGCGGATGAAACTTGGCAGACTGTCTTGGGTCAGGTAGCAGCAATGGTTGCCGGAGCTGAGTTAAGTTTTCATCTGTCAAATTGGCAGGAAAGCGAGTTTCCAAACATCAACGCTGAAGCAAAGAGAATGCTATCGAGAATCATGAATCTCGATCCGGCGAAAAGAGCCACTATCGATGAGATTCTAGATGACCCGTATTGGAAATAAAGGGGAAGTGTGATATGTGAAGTATAAGTTGATAGAAACCTCTAACATTTATAAGTTGAGTAGAAGCCTACGACTCACCGGGTTCAGGATTGCTAATTATCTCCCCTCTAAAAATCATTGAAAAGATAAATCTTGATCCTTTATGTCGACTACGTGTTAGTGCATTTACACAAATTGTTCATGGCATCAAAATGACAATATCCGGTACAGATAAGATTTACTACACGTACCACTTTTACGACGTTCGTTTTGCGTCCAGTTATTAATGATTTATTAGATCACACAAGTACAAGTCCATAATTGACGTTAATAACCTATTTTTCATTATGCAAAGCAAATCACCCAACCACTTGTCCCCACCACCTCGAACTCAATTTCAAAAGCTTTAATCACATCCTTGCCATATCTTTACAGACTTCTTCGCAAGACAAAAATCATCTACTGGCGACTTCGTGGGTACACCGTGTACCCGCGGGCTATTCATTGTCTGGATTGACTTTTATTTATACAGTCGTGGACAACTTTGATAAGTAGGCTCTCAGGTTCGACGTGGCTCCTCCGCTACATCATCTTAGGTTGAGTCAGCACAGCCAATATTGGTGTCAGTGGATTAACAGAGATGATTGCGATTTCCAAAAATGCTCTTCGCATCGAGCAATTCTGGAGAATAATCATACCGCATAGTATGATAAATATCCGCTACATTACCATTAACTGTGGAACTTTACGAACACAATTCACTCTCAAGGAAGTTGGTTGCCAATCTATTCATATTCAAATCACATTTGAGTCAAGATACTAACGATGTTATTTATCACGCATTTGTCAACTTGTCATAGGCATTTAGCAGTGTTTTGATGATGATTAGGAGAACTTTCCTGCCTGGAATTATGGATACGCAATTGCCAATAACAACAAATGCCAGATGTTGATTTCTCATGCTATCCAATCATCTCTTTCATAAGGAAATTAGGTTGTGAATCTCATGATGGACGAAGGAGGGTAAATGACAACTTTTCTCGTTTACTATTTAAATAATGTTATTGCCCGCGTTTACGTCAGAGAATAAGAGAATACAGGGTGTTTAAATATTTATGACTATTACGCTTTTCAAAATCAAATTCTGATGTACCACCTTGCTCAAATATACATATCACGACAGCCCGCCATTTCAGGAGTAATTCACATTTACTCGGAGTGCGTTTCGAGCCCTACGCTCTGGTATGAATTTTCTTTGCGTGACCGTAGTCAGTAATGATCTATTATACAATCACCTTCGCAAAAGACTCCAATAAGCAGTCTCAGAAGTTCTTATCCACTACTAACCCCTTCTTTAGAGGTATAAATTGAGAATATGTTGTCTTTTTCAACCCACTTCAACAATATCTCCACTCCTCTATACAACACCATATACATCACTAGTCTCCGCTCACTTCAACTAAGATATTTAAATACTCACATCACCTGCAACACGATGAGCGGAACACCAGACCCCAACCCAGGCCATATTTGCCTACATCGTGTCCCCCTCTGCTACGTGATAGTTGTCATGTTGCCCGTACCAAACGGGGAACCACCAATACCGGTTGGCGAGATAATCTTCAAAGATTATGCTGGCAGCGAATCTATTGATACCACTGAGAGATTCGTTTTCGCTCTTCCAGAACACTGGGTTGAATTTCGCGATAAGACAGAGTTTACAAAATACGAATCCTTCAACCCTATGGCAGTCATGCGGAGCAGTGTTTCGGACAACGAGAATCATGACCACCTTCGACGCAAAACTCGAGATACGTTATTCCAGATACATGATCTTATTCCTCGGGCCTTTATTAGAAGCTCAAACAAAGCTTTCCACGGGATCGAAATTCATGTCCGTGACTTTATCGACAACTACCCCGATCGAAGCAGTTTTGCCAATAACACACAACTTTCTGTTCAAGAACGATTAGATCAATGTTTGAAAGTGAGAAATCGAGGTGCATTTGCGATTTTAGCGAGCATTTTTAGGCGTACTTGGACAGACTTCCTGGCTATCGTTGCTGAAAACAAGGTAAAAGTTGCGGAGGACAAAGTTGAAGTTGCGACCAAACAGCCGAAAGCACGATCTGGAGATCTACCTCCCAAACGAATCTTGAAAGAAGCGAGAGGTACAGCATGCAAAATTGAGAATGTAGTCAAGGCTCTTTACCTTGACCATTGCAAGCTTCAACAGCTCCTTGAAGACAACGAGCATACGATTGCTAACTTGAAGAAGATCGAAGGATTGCATGAACCACAAAGCATTCAGGATATGCTTGAGAATGTGCATGCCGAGTTTCCAAATTCAGAAAGGACACACCTGGAGAGTCTAAAAAAGAGCCAAAGGCATCGAAACCCTCTGGTGGTACTCTTATTGAGATGAGTGACGCCGATCTCAAGCAATATGTTGAGAATCTTTTGGATAGGGCAAACAATGCCGCAAATTAAGAAGGTTACGCAAGCAAAGGTTTCACCAATGTATGTAAACTCACGTTATTTTTATCATCTAATCTTGAAAGAGAGAGAGCGTAGCATATTTTTCTGCATTTGAAAGTATTATATATTGTAGCCAGTGTATATTTGCCAATTACCCAGTCTATATTTCTTATGTCACCTCACACTGTAACGTAAACCGGCGACTATCTTGTTCATCCAGGCAACCAACGCTGTCATGTATAAAAAGAAAAGTGCTCTTAAGTCTTTTGCAAACGGACGAAGTATTTGGTAGTTGCTGGGTCAACTTCAAACAAAACTAATGATAGCTTTTAAAACGACGTCAAGAACGAGGGTTGGAAGCAGCAATATAGTGTCTATGTGCCGCCATGGATATATTGTTGACTAAGTTGGTAATTTAACTGCGCACCTTCATGTCCATTACACCAAATCCCGTCATTGTTCAGCAACCTTCTAAACGCTATTTGAACTACGTCCCTCAAACCATCCCACCCCCCTCAATCCCCTCAATCCTCCGAACAAATCGACGAAGCAATCCCCGCTCCGATGATACCACCCGACGAAGTAGCAAACCCCACCGCCTTCATCATCCCACTACAATCTCCCGCAGCAAACACCCCCGGCACACTTGTCTCATTGAACGGGAAATTAACCTTGTAATCACCCAGCTCCGTGGTCTCTAATCCGAGCTGCTCCTTCCACGGTCCATTCAAAGCGCTTTTCGGCTTGTGGACGAGGAACCCCTCGACTTTACTGCCACCCTCGGTGAAGAAAATCTCTAGTTCGCCTTTCTTGGATCCTCGCACGAATTTCGAGATCTTTCTGGCGTCGAGGGAGATGTGCTTTGCGCTTTTGGAGTCTGGTCGTACAGCGGATAAGGCTTCTTTGATCGAGGTAGTTACTGCTTCATTGCCGTTTGTGTATATGACGACCTTTTCTGCCAATCTGTTCGCGAATCTTGCGAGGTGAAGGGCCATTGGAGCTGGAGAGCAATCGTCCATTGCTAAAACACCGACAGAGGCGCTGTTTCGCTCATCGTAGCCATGGCAGAAGAGGCAGTGATAACTACACTTATCAGTATATCAGATCGAGTAAATGGTGCGCACTTACATGCTATGTGCCCAACACTCATCATATCCCGCAATCTCCGGCATCACGTCCTTGATGCCCGTCGCCAAAGCAACTTTTCGTCCCCACCACTCCGTTCCATGTTCATCGACAGCCTTAAACAGCGTGCCACCTCCCTCTCGTTCCCTCTTCTCCAGACTCTTAATACGAAGGTCCTCGAAAGAAGCCGTGTCATAATGAGCCAAGATATCCTTCCTTGCCGCGTCGCGGTAGTCTGCTGCATCTCTGTGCTCCCACGTCGGGACTCCATGCATGTGCTTTGATTTCGCGTTGCGGAATTCTGCAGATGAGAAGCAAATTGATGTAAGTAAGAGTCGAGATACTGTGAGTACACATGCAAGACCTGCTGGTCCAGCGCCGATTACGAGTACATCGACTGGGTTCTTTGCTGTGGTGATTCTGGATGCCATTTTGAATTGTCGAGACAAAACTCTAGTGAAATTCATTCAGCTTGATCTTATCTAAACAGCGTTGCAGCACTGGGAGAGAGAACCGCTTAATGGTTTGATAATGTGTTATGGTGAGAGGATCAGTACAAGATGATCTACGTGAACTGCAGCTGCAGTAATCCCTTTCATACCTAATCTGGAGACTTTTCGGAGCGTTTCATGTCAACAGCCCTGCAATTTATAAGCCCTTATTTACATACACTATGTCGATAGTGTGAGGCGAAGGTCTCGCCTGCGCGGAGACTTTCCAGGGTCTCGGAGACATACTCTGCAGTCAACTGTACGAGCACTTTACTGGAGAGTATTTTCTTGCCATCTTGATATTCTCGGATATTCTAATAATATTCCTTTTTTTACTGCGCGTTGCGGAGTCGGAAACTTCTGTGACAATTATTTGTTCAAGTATGAAATAGCTTTTCGCTTAAAGGGGCGGTGATTAACAATCATATTATGTATTCTATTTACTCGCACTTATCAGCGAAACGACCAACTCAAAAATCAAGACTCACCATGGAGAATCTATCGCTAAGCACCAAACACCAATATTATATACCAATTTCTCTCCCAAAAGCCTTGACAATACCCACAGCTCAACAACAACCACCCCTCCTCCTCCTTCCCCCACTCAACGTGAAGACCTCCTCCCACTCCCTCACGCCTCCACCCATCCAAGCATTCTTCTTCTTCTTCCCCCGTCTCCTCGCCCCCTCCCCTTCAATAGTAACACCACTCTTCACACTCGCGCCATCACCATCTCCTATCCACCCGCCATCACCATATTGAATCCCTGACATCGGATCATCAGGATCGATTTCCCCTAGTTCAATCTTCGTTAATATCATCCTCGCCAGCCGGGCGAATATCTCTTCCACATTTTCCCCCGATAACGCCGAGACCTCGACAGATACCGGTATGTTATTCGCAGACGCCCATTTTGACGCCGTCTCCGCTGAAACCTCGCGCCCATCCGCAACCGTGGCGCGTAATTGCGCACCAAGTCCCATATTTGTCGAGCTACCCACCGATCCACCTGCTCCAAAAGGGAATTCCTTGCTTCCCACACTACTCGGCGTCGCAGGTGGCAGGGAAGCGTCTATCAAATTCGAGTTGTCTGTTAAATCTGCTTTATTTCCGACGAGGATGAGCGTGAGATCGGGACTGGCGAGCGCGCGCGCATCGTTCATGAAGGAGGAAAGGTTCGCGAAGGTGGAGTGCGAGGAGATGTCGTAGACGAGGAGGGCGCCGGCAGCACCGCGATAGTAGGAGCGTGAGACGGAGCGGAAGCGTTCGGTTCCTGCTGTGTCCCATAGCTTATGTATGTTAGCTGGTATTCATATATACTAGGTGGGGGTACAAACCTGGAGTTTTATCCTCTTCCTCCTTGCTCCTGTGCCAACTTTGATAATCTTGCTAGCGAACTCTACGCCAATCGTCTGGGAGGATAGGACTCTCCATTCGTTCTTCACAAATCGGTGGAGGAGACATGATCTTGAGAGCTTGTTAGCTCTTATTGTATTGCCGTGGAAAGAGAACCCTACTTTCCACTCCCGCTTGGTCCGAGTAATATGATTTTGGCCAGATAATCGTACATGCTTCCGAGCTCCTACTATCATTAGCCTAAGTCTAGAATGGTATAACAAGCACAAGCAAACCTGATCGCGAGCCGTTCCAGCCGACTCTTCACTCGCAGCAGAGCTGCGCCGTGGGCGCACCATCTTTGCAGATCTACTCCAGTCCTATCGCAAAAGATCTATCTCATGCCAGTTGCCGCGCAAAGAAATCTAAGAGTATGCCACTATTCGCAGTTCGTCGTACCTGGTCAAGAGATGTCGTCGCAATCCTTATCTTGAGACAATGCACAGCCCACATCGGGACATCGGCGGTCGTGGATGAATCCCGGCAAGCGCATTCTAGGAGGGGACCTCGGTTCGTGAATAGCCTAGAAGCCATACCTTCAACCTCGACAGGAATAATGATTGTCTCCTCATCCATCTTGTTATTCGAAGATGAAGATTGAAGGACGAACATTCATCGTGTCTGGCGGGTAATATATTCCATCAAACTTACCTGATATTTGCTGAGAATGATAATCGCAGGGCATCGGGCCTAGGACAAGCATGTGTCGAGGACATCTGTCGACGAGGAGGCTACGCGGCAATTCTTGATATGAACGAAGAAAATGCCAATGAGGTGGTCAGTCAGATTGGAGGTGACAAGACTAAGTTCTTTCAATGCAATGTTCTAGAGACGGAAAGCATTGCTGCTGCAGTGAAGGGATGTTTGGCCTGTGAGTTTGCGTTACTGTACTGTGTAGGTTTGAATGCTGAAATTCTGAAGGGGTCAAAGAAACAGGAAAGGAGGTTGGAGGAGTCATTGCAGCTGCCGGGATTGGAGCGCCGGCTAAGGTTCGTGACATCCTTCTTCGAAAATTCCAGAGTCAAGTCATTATCTGTTGAAATTATTAGTGTTCATGGATGACGCTGTTCCATACCACGATTTGCTCAGCACAGTATCACATGTGGAACAGTGATTTGCATTCACCTACTTTCGGTATTTGTTGTGCTCGTTCTGAACTCGGATGTCTTAAAAACTCATGAGGTCTTTTGGTTCCGCTATGTCAAAGTTCGTAAAGTTCATGTGTGTTTCAAGTCAGCCTGACATCGAGTGATGCTGGACGGACTCATTGAGCCGTATTTCCAGATGTAAACTAGCGTTTTTATCTTTATGGCTCTTCTTGCCTCTTGAGCGTCCGTGCCGTGACTTATCAAGCAATTCTAGATCCTAGACCGCAACCTTGAGCCTTTCTCCCTCTCAGACTTTGAATTCGTAATGAACGTCAACGTCCGAGGGACAATAGATCTCATACGACAAGTCCTGCCTCACATGGCTCAGACAAAGCTAGTAGGTGAAGATGGCGAGCGAGGAATCATCATTATGGTATCAAGTTCCGCTGCTTTTGATGGTCAGCCTGGTCAAGGTACGCTACTCCATAACCCTCAGGAAATAATACGTACTGACCCTCATGTAGTATCCTACAGCGCATCAAAGGGCGCCATTCGTTCCTTGACACTTCCACTGACCAGAGATCTTGCTCGTTACGGTATACGCGTCGTTACTCTAGCACCTAGCATTTTCGATAGCAGAATGACTTCGATGATGTCTGACAAAGCTCGTGCGAGTTTGACGAGGGTGATGGAGTTCCCATGTGAGTTTTATCTTTTATTTCGACTGAGAAGCGATTTCTAATGCTATTCAGTGCGACCTGGCAGGGCACCCGAGTTCGCTCAGCTCGTGACGCAAAGTATTGAGAATGTGATGTTAAATGGTGTCGTACTTCGACTCGATGGAGGCATGAGAATGCCCAGCAAGATGTAATGAATCATGTACTTCACAAATTCGGAGTCTACGGGAGGTTTTCAGAATTAGGTGGTCATCAGTATCGTCTCGGTGCCTAATTAGTGTACGAATGAAACTATTTGCCTCCTGTTTCGATTTGCCTATCAATTGCAATGTCATAGATTGTCACTGAAACCCCGGCAGCACCACCGAAAGCATTGTCATACATTATGATCTTCTCAAAAAAAAACTCCTCGCATTGATCTATGCTATCCATTGGACCGCTTCTAGATTGACTTCAGTAGTACTTTATCTGCAAGTGGTCATTTGAACTCGCCTTCAATACCGTTTTGACTTGGAAATTCAGATGAGCTAAAATCAGAACGATGCTGAACTGACAAAAGTAGATCACGCTCCATGCAGAGACCATACAATGCTCGATATTTGTCAATAATCCTTCGTTCGCTAACACAAATGTTGATCTTGAAGAGCTTCCAACGAACGACGCCATCAGAGTTCAGAGTGGTGAACTGATAAGGTAGCTGTTACCCGCTTTGATTTTCGGCCGTAGGATCTTGAGTCTTGGTAAAGATGACTCCAAATTGTCCGGCATAGCTCATTAAGAGAAGAATTATGCTTGTTATGAGTGCTGGGCAAAAGCACCACCAGCGATTCGCGAGATAACGTGTTGATGAGCGGTTGGTGGCTTGTTAGGCAGCGCTCATGGGATCCTCCATATTAACACAATATATAGTGCAGTCTCAGCTCGTAGGTTGGAAGATGAGAAATTGAATACCACAATCTCTAAGTCGGAATTGATCTGACAGCAAGATTAAGAGCGTGGGATGCCGAAAACTTGCAGCATGTCGGTCGATGAAGTAACAATACATGAGAATAGAAGCGAATCCTAGCATCCAGGGCTTGCTCAGAATTCGCTCATCCTACTTATATAGGAAGGAGCTAATGAACAACAACAATTGCCTACCAATCATGGCTTGCAGGATATGCAAAATATACCAAAAGAGAGCATCAAAACTCGACTTTTGGCACCGTAGCATTGTTTGAAGCCAGAGAAACATCCTTACTATCATTCTGTAGCTCGTGCCCGCAGCGATGAGATATTGTAATGACTAACCACAACAATCACAATGAAATCCACCGTTTTGTAACAATGGTAACGACGCTGATATGCAGAGAAACTTCTCGACATATGTAATAGATTACATCTGAAATCCGGGCTGACACTTGGTTCACGTGGGTCCAACGGTGATGGGAGAATGAAGTTCGCAGGTTCACCTTCCGAAGGCAAGATCGAACGCAGGCAGACTGATATAGATAAAAAGGAAGGTGCACAGTCGCAATTGACTAACAGCCTTGATGTTTAACCCGGTGCAATGGCATAGGTCGATGAGGCGAGTTTAAGTGGTTGTGTATATTAGGTTCAGGGTTCGTTTCAGGTAAGTGTATGGTGTATTCAGCCTACTCATGAGGTTAGCATCAGATGATTTATATAGCGTCTTCCTCGTGCTCAGGCCTTGACAACATATTAACAAGTGCCGAATGAAGCGGGTAGCTTAATTGACTGCATCGCCTTGTTGAAATTGGGGTCCAAAGTAGTTCACGAGAAGAAGCATCGTCGGTTGACGGATATTGGTGTGCGACAGCAGTTTCTTGAATGGACTACCTCTGTGACAAAACGTTGCCTGAGACCAGAGGTGGGTTCAAACACAATAATCCAGTCGTTACGAATTACCTGCCATTCTTCAAATTGCGAAGATGTACATCAGCAACCAGTTTGCCAGATGGTCAACGTTGTGTAGTTCTATGTCGTTTCTATTCCACCTTGATGTTCGACTTCTACCAAACAATGGTGTTCTTTAAGTGGAATTGAGTGTTATCGTGATTCTCAAGATTGTTATTTCTCAGATCTGTCGCTCAGGAGTAGTGAGTAAAAGATAAAACTTTGGACTATATTCGATCTTGACATTGTTTTGCTGTTCTGTTGAGGGGGGAATTAAGCGAGGGTCCTCCTTTTGGTTCTACAAGCGGTCGAGTTCATGACAAGAACTGACCGGTTGGTAGGGAGTAATTCCGACACGTTCGCATATCAGGAATAAATCTGAGGTCGTGTTTCTCATCAGCGCAAACTATGATTCTCCTAGATTCCTCGCAATTCAGATTATGCGGCGCATAGATTTCTTTATCGAGCAGCTCGGAGGCTTTCCTTCCGCTGATTTGAGGGTTCCACCTGCACGGGACTGTCAGGCCGCGAGGTTCCGCAAATATCTCTCGTGCATTGGTAGTAACAGATGCTCTCGTTACGTGGGGGTTTGTTTGATGTTGGTTGACGAGAATTGCTGTTGATGGTCGATAGTCATTGTTACCGTGTGGTGTGTTTTGAGACTGGAAGCAGTTGAATGATGTTCATGTACGATTCGCCAGCCAGCCCTTGTACCACGAGGCAGCGGGGGTATTCCCAATGATTTCTTGCTTCGGAAGCAAGCCACTATGGCAAACTCGCCTGGGATCTTTTCCAACGGCTGCGTCCTGTACTCGGGTGCTATCCTAGCACGCTTAATGGCTCATTGCTGTACGCGGAGCTTCCGATCGTCTGTGGCTGCAGCGATGCATCGAGGGTGCAGGTACATGTGCTTCCCTGTAAGGAAAGTATTAGACTTCATGACCTCGGAGAAGAATCCAACATAGTAGTAGTAAGTAGCTGATCGACGTGTCGAGACGGTATGGACTGTCTTTATGGACTGTGTTCTTGATTGCTGTCTTGGATGTTGACAAAGTGAAGAGGAGAGAAGGAGGTGAAGGTGTAATTGAAAGAGGCTGAACACAAGCGAGGTGCGTAGCGTCACCAGTTCAACCGATTTAACCCCTGCCCTGTCATGACAATCAGCCCAACCTTATCGTCTAAACGAGCGATCGCAACAACAACGTCGCTTTGCGCACCAACCGGGGAATTCAAACAGCATTTAGCAAGACCACCTATTAATCGTACTATTGCTAGTACCTGTCAACTTGGTGTAATTTTTGGCTCTAGTTTCTCTAAGCTGATAGACGGAGCTCATCTCTCAAATGACTTCCTAGGTAGACGCCTATACGATTGAGAGCTCCAAGTCGGCAAACAAAGAGGGCAGCCGTGGGCTACGCCATCGTCGACGATGAACTTCACCCGTCCTACTCTATACCAACTCCCTCGTCGCTCTCGACCACCCCACAAACCCCCACGTCTGCCAACCTTTGAAGACTCACCGACATACGTTCGGTACATCATACTATCCAAGCGGAGCGGCAAGGATCATCATCGGGGCGGCAAGATCCCTAGCTTCGAGCTATCATCGTGACAGCTTCGGTCCATGTCGACTTCCACCATTTCCGAGACGAACCTGGGATGAATTGAGTACGCTTACTCGAGTACATCTTGGTGACACAATACCCACAAAGACGCATTCAGGCTCCCCTGATACAGACTACAGTCGTGTCAGCACTTCTCGAATGCGGCATGGAAGCCCCGCACCTGGAGCCATAGACTGAAGTATCTGCACTCATTTCTTCCGTCAGATCACACGCCGTCCTATAACTGCAATTACCGCCTCGAAAAGGATCAACCTGTGATATTGGAAAGCCAAGGGCGTCAGAGAAGCACTACTCCATAGCAGATGCCGAGTTGTGACACTGAAACTTGCACAACTCCCGCTCTCCTCCATTAATTCTCGACCTCCTCGTCACCTACATAAGAACCATCAGCGCCTGCGATTCAGTTTGGACTCGCCTTCAGTCAGAACTTGACAGAATCATACTTAACAACTACACCAACTTCCTCCTATAAAAACCATCCACTTCAAAATGTCGACTCACACCATCATCCCAGTTGACAAAAATTGGACCTTCAAACAAGCAGATCAGAAAGATGCCAAATTCCTCCCTGTCGCCCAATTTCCAACCAACGTCCACTTAGATCTCATCGCCAACAATATCATTCCAGATCCCTTCATTGGCAAAAATGAAAATGATGTTCAGTGGATCGGTGAGGTACCTTGGGTTTACAAAACTAGCTTTCCATCACCCACTATCTCTACAGATGAGCGGCGAACTGTCACTGCTATTCTCGCCTTCGATGGACTAGATACATTTGCCACCGTCAGATTGAATGGGAAAGAGATACTGAAGACTGAAAGCATGTTCATCCCAGAACGCGTTGATGTTACCACGCATCTGAAGAAAGAAGGTAGCAATGAGCTAGAGATTACTTTCGAAAGTGCTTATCTCAAGGGCTGTGCTCTTGTTGAGAAATATCCAGATCACCGCTGGGGATGCTGGAATGGTGACAACTCGAGGCTAGCTGTTCGAAAGGCACAGTATCATTGGGTACGTAAAGTCTACCGCCGCATCAATAACTCGATACTGATGACTGATTCCATAGGGCTGGGATTGGGGGCCAATGCTAATGACTTGCGGGCCTTGGAGACCGATAAATCTCGAGATATTCTCGTCCCGTGTAGCGGATCTGTATTTTACTTCTGAGGTCGACAAATCTCTCAAGTCTGCAAAGTTTCATGCCAAAGCTGATATCGAAGGCGATGCAACTGAAGTTCGATTTGAGGTCTCTCTCGACGGCAAGACCGTAGCATCAGAAACCGTTCAGGCCGCGAAAGGCCATGCGTCTCATAACTTCGTACTAGAAGACCCAAAACTTTGGTATCCCATTCGTTACGGAGAGCAACCTCTCTATTCGGTAACCGCCACTCTGATTCAGGAAGCATCGGAGCTTAGCACTCAATCAAAGAAATTCGGGCTAAGAAGAGCTCAGATCATTCAGAGGCCCATGAAAGAGCAGCCAGGAACGACTTTTTTCTTTCAAATCAACAACATCCCAGTGTTTTGCGGAGGTAGCGACTGGATTCCTGCGGACAACTTCATTCCCAGAATTACCAAGGAGAAGTATTATGACTGGGTGAAGTTGGTAGCAGACGGAAACCAGTTTATGATTCGTGTGTGGGGAGGTGGCATCTATGAGGAGCAAGCCTTTTACGATGCTTGTGACGAGCTTGGTATTCTCGTCTGGCAGGACTTCATGTTCGGTTGTGGAAATTACCCTGCTTTTCCGGAATATCTAGAGTCAGTAAAGATCGAAGCCAAGGAGAACGTCAAGCTTCTTCGACATCATCCTTCAATCGTCATCTGGGCTGGTAATAATGAGGATTATCAGTATCAAGAGTCTGAGAATCTCACCTACGACTTTGAAAACAAAGATGCTGAAAGTTGGCTCAAGACTGATTTCCCGGCGAGGTATATCTACGAGAAAATTCTCGCGGATGCCTGCAAGGACTTGATCCCGGACACGTTTTATCATTTCGGTAGCCCATGGGGTGGTAAGGATACCAGAGATCCGACAGTGGGCGATATTCATCAATGGAATGTCTGGCATGGAACCCAGGAGAAATACCAGAATTTTGACAAACTGGTCGGCCGTTTCGTCTCTGAATTCGGCATGGAAGCATTCCCCAACATCAAAACAATCGAAGCTTTTCTTCCACTTGGTAAGGACGATCCTGATCGATACGCACAGTCGTCCACAGTCGATTTCCACAACAAGGCCGATGGTCATGAGCGACGGATTGCTCTCTATCTGGTCGAGAATTTCCGATACGCACCGGATCCGCTAGAGCAATTTATCTACTGCACACAACTCATGCAGGCAGAATGCTTGGCTAGTGCTTACCGGCTGTGGAAGCGACAATGGAAGGGGCCAGGACGAGAGTACTGCGGTGGTGCTCTTGTCTGGCAGATCAATGATTGCTGGCCTGTGACATCTTGGGCGATTGTGGATTACTGTCTTCGTCCGAAACACGCCTTTTATACCGTCAAACGCGAGATGGCGCCAATATCGCTGGGAGTAACTAGGACAGAACATTTAGTACCGAAAGATAAACACACCAAGGCTTTCGTTGAGAAGACGACAAAGATCGAGATTTGGGGATCTAATCTCACCCTGGATGATCTAACTGTCGATCTGGTCGTCAAGGCTTTCGACGCGATATCCGGGAAAGAGACATATTCGAAAACCATCGAATCATCCTTCCTCCTCCCCGAGAACCGCAGTACCGAGATGGCCGACTTTCTCGTTCCTGTGAACAAAGCGAATTCCGACGAAGAGATGCGGACCGTCGTCGCGGCCTACCTCTTCCAGGACGGTCGGCAAATCGCGCGATATGTCAACTGGCCTGAGCCGTTGAAGTACGTGCATCTCCAAAAACCGAAGCAGCTTCGTGTTTCATTGAGCGAGGATGCGAAGGTTGTTGAGGTTAGCGCGGAGGTCCCGATTAAGGGTTTGGCTGTTGAATGCGAGGATGATGGAGTTGTGTTTGATGATAATCTGGTTGATGTTGTGCCTGGGGAGGTTGTTTATATTGGTGTCAGAGGGGCTAATAAGGCGTCGAAGATTACTGGTAGGTATCTTGGTATGGTGTGAGGTCGAAGCGGCCTATGGTTGTAACGTCAGTATGGTAGCTTGCGAAGGTTTTGGTCAGACGGCTTATGATTTCTGCAAAACTCTCGGTCGTGGAGATGGTCATAAGACGTACTTTTCCCAAAACAAAGGAAATGCGACACATACCTTGCTCCTCTTCCTCATCTACTCTTGCACGGTAGCACATCCTATTTGCCTCTTATTGCAGATAGAAACGCGAATGCAATTTGTCACTACCTCAAACACCGCTTTAAACTTCAAGTTCCTATTTGTATGTTTTGTCTGTGTGACGCGACGGGAATTATCCAGGCGCTTTATTCGATCTGATATTTCCATGCGTCGACAACCTTTCAGTTTTTTACCGTGGTTTTGTGTGTGCGGTAGGAGCTAGACAGTAGTTCGGGTTGATTGGGGACTAGAAAGGTTGAGGTGATGGCGGATACGCATAGGGCGTTGGTGTTGATGTTATCTGGCAGTCTGAATCTTAGCGACCCCTTTCCCCCGCTAAGAAAATACTATTACTCACTACGACTGAGATCTCAACCAAGTGCCTCAGGAGTAGATATCAAAGCTGCTTGTTTTCTTAAACAGGTAATTGACGATCTAACAAGAGTAAGTACAGAGAAGAAATGGGTAGGCTTAGTCATTGAATTGATAAGTTATACAAGTGTGGCGCAAGGTGGACGATTAGGTGTCTTGCTACTGTGCTATTTCTGTTCTCTGTGTAGCTTTGCCAGATTGGAGAACGACAATGCTCCGAATTAAGAATTGTGTGGTTCGCTGATATATTTTACAGGACTTTAAATAGACAGGGCATCTATCACTCTCGCTCAATCAGTCCTTCCACCTCTCACAACCACGACCTAGTAAAAGTGTCAATTTGCGGTGTCGGACTCAACACAGGATGTACATGGTCCAGACCAACCACTACCAAAACCATAGGAATTCAATTCCTAAAATCTTAGAAACCCCACCTCATCCTTATTTATATTACTCTTTCCCCCTGCGCTACATTCAAGCTCCGCTCATCAAAGCCCACCGAGAACAATCCTAGCATCCAAACTATCAATCATTTGTTTCAAGAACTCCTTCTCAAGCCCACCCCAATTCCTCTTCGCACTCTGGAACCTTCCTCCTTTACCACGTTTGACGCCCACAATCTTATCCCCATTTCCCTTCCTTGCCTCCACCACCCCTTTTCTCTCACTCCCATCCTCCTTCACTTCCTCACCACCCTTCACTCTATCCCCATTTTCCCCATTTTCCCCATTTTCCCCAGTCATCCCTCCATTCTCTTTCATCTCGCCACTCTTCTTGTTACCGGCGTCCTCCCCTGCCTTCTCCTCCTCAGAACCACTCTCAACAACCTCTCCATAAAATCCCTCTCTCAAATGCCTCTGTAGAACGCGTCTCACCTCGCCAATATCTATGTTCATAGACAGCGCGCGGGTATACAATGTCCCGGCTAGGATCTGCGCGTAATATCGAGCAATTTGTACATCGGCGAAGAAGAAGAATTGCGGTGTCAGAATTGTGGATTCTTGGTGCGATGTTCTTGAAAAGTCGCTTAGAGACGTGCGAAGAGGATCAATTTTATTCAGGAGTAACATTACTTGAGCGTCGAGATTGCGGAGTTCAATCGAGGTGAAGCGGTAGGGGTGAGACGGGGACGGCATTGTTGGTTGTGGTAGAGGTGGAACTAGAGAGGGTGGATTGCGTTGTGTTGAAATTGATGCTGTCAAGGTACTCGAAAGTTTGGATGATGGTAGCACAGGTTGTGTAGAATGGTTGGTGACTACTCTGTGTGTACAAAATAACGCCTTTGTGGTGCAGAATTGACATCGTGAAGTTTTGTTGTGCTGTGGATCTGTTAGTTGATGAGGCCTGGTGAAGGTGAGGTTTGAGAGGAGAAAGGATAGATCGAAAGTCCCAATAATGGGACAATCCAGGGTTGAGAACCAGAGGATATCAAGGAATTTTGAGGTGGGTTTTGGTTGAGAAGAATTTTGTGCGCGTATGATGGTTTTTGGATGTGGTAGCGAAGGCGAGATCTGTAGAGGTCTTTGGGAATTATCAATTTGATTTGCCCCCCTTTCGAAATAGTATTACAAGACCTATTGCTGTTCTCAATCGAAACTTCATCAAAATTTCATAGAAGGACAAGAAAAGCAAGAAATCAGAAAATCGAAAAAAAACAACAACCAGACAAGACACAACACCTTTCGAGATTCCACAGATTTGACCAGGCCTGGTTCATGGCGAAAACAGATCGGTAAAAATACTCACAGACATATGTCTCCTGCTAAACCCATCACAAAGCGAATTGTCGTTCATCGTCAAAATTTCCAGAAGTGGTATTCGGAATAAGTGATTTTGACGTTTTACTATAGTCATGCAACCATGTGAAAGGTCAAACTAAAATATCGTGATTCAGCAAAAACAAAAAGTAGTAGTAATCAATATGCTGTGGTGAATGAAAAAGGCTATACGATAAATATTCAACTTGAGATGATGGTATTTGGGAAGGAAGTTACGATGGAACTAGTCGACGAAATTGGTTGAGAGGAAGGATTCACGATTCACTCACAATTCTCAATATGACCACGAGTCTGAGTGAAGACATTGAATTTGAAATTTGAATTGCTAGTAACTATGTATAGTACAGCTCGTGAGTAGTTTGTACAGCATTTGCGTTCTCAAATCTATCTTCCACCTACGCGGAGAAAGGAGGCAGATCAGCTGACGATAATAAGCGAGCAAGATTGATTGTATTGTTACACACGTATCGTATAAATATCATACACATAGTAACATGCAAGTACACAAAGTGACATTCGTCGAATCTCCTTCGATACCTCCAAGTATCAAGCTCTAATAAAATACTTCCCGCGGCAATTCTAAAACAACTCACTCACCACATCCCCCAGAAAAAGAAATTCCTGAGCCACGCCTCCATCTTCAAACGGCAAGAAATATGACATCATTGAGGCAAACCGACAAAATATAATATACGTACGGCTCGCAACCCTCGTATCGAGTAACCACTAGCAACAATCTCCAACCCTCCCCATAGTTTTTGCATACCAAGCTTTCTAGACACCCTCCACAACTAAAGGCTGTCCCACCATCTCCTATGCGTCAAGAGAAACCCACAAAAAAGACGTTTCAAATATGTCTCTCGGTAAGAGTTTCCTGCTGATCGTTGGGGGTTGGGGTGAGTTCCGTCTCCGATGTATTCACCATCGAGTTGGGAGGTTCTAGGGTTCGTTCTAGATCTGGTTCGTTTTGCTCGTTATATGGCTAATTTCGTCCCTTCTTCTTTGTTAGTTCCATGCCATCTCATACCCAGCTTGTTCTCCTCCACATGCTAACCACATCCCTAGTGTGCCCCTTCAGCTCCCCTCCACACCCCATCCCATCCCCTTCCCCATACCAACCCTCCCAGTCCAAGCTTCTCGTCCGGCCTAATCCCACCTCGCCTAATCACCCCTCCCTCCATGCAACGTAATTCCCCTGACGTATCAGCGCCGTGCCTCGACCCCTAGTTTCTCATTTTCAGGGTGATACCATAAGGGACGGAGACGGGATAAGATACGAGTTAGCTCTAGAAAAAGAAATCTAGTGGGGGAGCGTTGGATTTGAGAGTTTGATAGGTATTCTGCGGGGTGGAGGTGGGGGAATGTGTGATTGGAAGATCGAGGGTTCTCAAGGACGTGAGATATACTTGCCGTCTCCCCTGACTTCGGCATTCCTGCCCTCTAGTTCCAAGCGAGCGTAAGTTCCTAACCGCCATGCTTTAGTTCGCATGTACAATCCAAGTTGGTTAATCTCGAGCCTCTAGTTTCATGTACAATATCCAAGCACATAAGATTCAAAATACGAAAGAATCGCCGTTTCCGAGATTAAAAATTAATCGTCACAAGAATATATCATCAGAAAATCGGAAATCAGAATACCAGAATATTTGCAATTCCCGCCCGTCTTAAACTATGAACAGCGTTTCCAGGATCATTGACCCCCACCAACCTCTTTTTACACCCAATCAAAATATCCAAACACAGAGTAGTACGCAGTATGTTCTCGCTACAATGTAAACATTGCCGTTTCGTTGCCGAAACTGCGAGGTATCGTTCCTTAACAGTAAAAAGCAAAAAACGCCCATATCCAAAAACACCAACTTTACTTTTTCCTAGTAAATGCCATTCCAACTCCCCGCAAAAGCCTCCTCCGTTGAATTCGTGGTAGCGTAAAAGGTGAAGCCCGACCACCGGTGATATAAGCCCATTCAGTAGCGCCACGCTAAAAGTTTGAGAGGTGGTGAAACCTGGGTGTACTGTAGCGATGCCGAAAAATCTTTCGGCATATGAAGTGAGGACGTGTGTTATCGTGTGGTAGATGGAGAACAAGCGTCAGATTCAGAGACGGAACCATTGCGGTTCATGATCTGGCTGATCGCATCGTCAGCTCGCATGCTACTCAAAGGATCGCTTTGGATCGTATGTTCGCATTGTTCCATGAACGAGCCCAGAAGACCCTCGGCGCAGGTAGAGGAGTGGTGGGTCTTTGCTTCTTGGAGGAGAAGCATCAGATCCAACTTCATCTGTTCGTAGGTCTGGATCAAGTCTGCGTTCTTCGCGGCCAAGGCGTGAGACTTTTGCAAAAGATCATTCTGTTGATCCGCTTTCTTGACTCGGGATTTGGCTGCTGCAACCGCGTTGTTTGCTCTTTTCTCCTTTTCGTATTTTTCTTTCTCGGCTGCGTTGCGCTTGATGGCTCGTCGCCCTCGTTTTTTAGGGGGAGGATTGGTCCCATCGCCCTCGATTGCTGAGACGGAATTTCGTTTCTTTCGGGGTCTGGTGTCATCCTTTGGACTGTAGCCTTCTGTTTCTGGTGAGGTTGCGGGAGTAGAACCGCTTTCTGATGTGCATGTTTCGTTGGAGGTAAACCGTTCAGATGAGCTCGTACTGTCATGTTGAACAAGTTGAGGTATTTGGTGAGTGTGATCAAGATTGCTAAATTGGTCTAAGAAAGTCAGCCATTGTTCGCGGAGATAGGTCCGGTTCCGTTATTGAATCGCTGGATCATGTCAGGTCAATGCTTACTTGTGGGTTGTTGAGTTAGATTCTGCGGGAAGCTCGATGGGTTCATCGTCCCCATGGGAGCACCATCATTCTCAGAGTTTCCAATCGCAACATTATCCAACAAAATGTGATCCAGTGAAACAGTGTCCATGAGGGGATTTTGAACAGTTGCATTGTCCATTGCACCACTGAACTCGCCCCAATCCCAGACACCTTTTGAGGGTTCCGTCAGGCTCGGATCCAAAATGAAGCTGTCAAAGTCATTGAATATCGCGCCATCATTGAAGGATGTTTCGCTCGTGGGATAAAAATCTTGAGAATCCATAATGCTCGACGGGATGGGATAGAGTAGTGTAGGCAATTGTTTGGACCTCTGTTTTCGTGATGGAGGATCAGAGTGGCATGAGCTATGAGATATTGCAATTTTGCATCGAATCAACATCAGCAAAAGGACATAAACATTTCAGCGGAACGAGTGTTTAAATATAATCTGAGCTGCTGGGAAAATTGAGGGGAGCTGCAGCTCAGATTTCGCTGGGTTAGCCGAGATGTCATAGTTGCGGCAGCTTCAGACGTGAGTGGAGAGCCGACTAAGGCTCAAAGAGGAAACAAAATTCTCAAGGGACGGAGAAATGCTTCGACTGGAGCTCAGGGCTCTCTGCTGGCGTCATAATTCAGAACCGTCGCTCAAAAGCTCCGGTATATCTGAGGTTTGGCGGCGTGCCAGATAGGAAAGAAGGTGGCGACTCCAGAATCCCATGCAACAAGCATGCAATTGTATTCGGCCCAATGACAGCGGCCATCACCCCGCCCGGACGACACTCCTAAGCGGAGGGGTCATCCAGCAAATCATCGTGTCTTGTAATCGAAATATCGGTGCGGTGACGTTCTGGGCGCCAGGCATGAGTTGAAGGACCTACCACGATTCGTTGTAATCTTATATCTTCATTGGAGTATCAGTCAATAACTTGATTATTTTATTTGCATTTGCATTGGTATTTGCGTCCCCTCACCACCTGTGCAGGAGTTTTCATCCCAACCGGCAGAGAGCTCTTCGCTAGCCAGTGAATGCCGAGACTCGATAGCTATCAGAAATCTGTGCCGGCATGGGAATGGATTAATTGAATATCAGAGACGCTCTTGGACTAGCTCACATTACCGTTCATTGAGTCGCTCTCTTCAAGTCATCAAGTAAAGCACAATTCAAAGAGCTTCCGCGCGTTTGTTTGACACCTTGTTGACCCCTGGCCAAGTGAGTCGCTGGTGGATACGAACGATACGTACCTACGATGTTTAGGAGAAAGCGAACTGGCACAGCTGCCATGACTGGCCGCTTCGTTGCTTACAGACCAAACGCCGAGTTAGCTAACGGAAACTCAAACAGACTGAAGGAGGAGTCTCTCCGGTCAAGAAATCTGAGTACCCCATTCTCAGCATGAACATTGGTTGAGCAGGATTCTTCATAAGCTGCCAGCTGTACGTTGAAGTCATCCGGGTCAAGCGTCGCATTTCTATCGAGATGCATTGTACAGAGTAGGCAATTGAGCTTCGCCGCGCCAGCAGTTGCGTGCAGGCCCCATGAAAATGAGTGCCGGCGCGCCCTGAGGAGCAGAAACAAGAGTAACGGCCTGCTCTCGATCTGCAAACTTTGATAGCACATATCCCGTTTCAAGATTCGTATTCTCTGGTAAACAAACACGTGGAGGAGTGGTCGCTGCCTCTCGTGCCTCTCTCGTCTGGCGTCGGTCGCACGACCCGTGGGGGATGATACATCACATAAGGTTAAGCGAGCATGTGAAATCCCACCTGAAGTTCGCGTTCCCGCGGAAATGCTCCAAATATTGGACCTCGCATCCTCTCAAAGTATAAATCCGCCAAAAGCAATGATCTTCGGAATCGCGGACGTCTGTCCGTCCAGTCGTCTCGTCGTCTGGATATATCACCTTCATTGTTACTGTCCAGCGCGCATGACCACCGACAGGTGAGGGTAGAAGGTATTGGCGGACGCAGCGCTATTGTGGTCTTCTTTGGGCTGACGCAACAAAGGCCGACGTCAAACTTCACACATGCAAAAGAAATCAACATCCGCGATATGGGTCGAGATGGGTCCTCTTTCGCGGTACCTTCCGTTGAAGACTTGGATTTCTGGACTTAATCAATCGGCGATCTGTGGTTGCGAAGCGGCCTCTTCTCTAGCCATCGATGTTGCGATATCCTGCCCCTTCACGTACATACGACCTGATATCGGGGGATGCTTAGGATGGATTGTGGATTGCGATTCTGGTTTCTGCGGGATCTGGATGCGAAGAGAACGGGGTCCAAGGCTGGAACGAGAAGAGACAGTTCCATTCCGTTGGTGGACATGCCCATGGACGTTGCGGATTCGAAGAAGAGATCCGTCTCCACGGGGTCTTACGATCCGAATGCTCGAAACCGCACGAAGGCTCTGACGAAAGGAACATGATAAAATACACAGGCGGGATAACCGCGATGGATGATCACGATAGGCTTCATTCGGAGTCGGCGTGAACGCACACTCGTGTAAGCCCAAGACGATCAAGATCATACCCATTTGGCACAATCGCGACGACTTTCCTGCATCAAAAGCTGCATGGAGATGTCGTGCTACAAGAATGAAAGCAAACAAGCATGGATTTTAGGGTCTAGGGGTTATACGATCAACAGCGACGGTTGGACGATAACGGTCAGCACAAATATCCCGCAGTTTAGCAATTCTGCAGTTGTGCCCAAGCCACTATTTGTATGCGCTCAGGTAATTGCGGAAAACACTACGGAGACATCGGGATGGGAATCAATATCGGAACTGTTTGATACTCCGCCGGATTGATCCATTATCTGGTGATGAATTTGGCAGTATCCGCAATCTATTGCACTTTCTGGGATTTGACAAGGACAGCATCTGTTCTATGGACGGACCGTATGGACAAATGCCGACAGATGAGGACAGCGCGGAATGACCTCAACGAGAAAGCACCGTGGAGTTGCATAGTATGCGTAGCTCACCAAACCAAGACTGGACGAGGAAGAAATACGCAGGTTGGCCGAGAAGCCCTTTTGGCAATTCCAGGAACGCCACTATCAGAGGCACAACATGCAACAAACTAGATGCGATGAATTGCTTGCCAGGTAGTATATTTTCTTCTTGCTTGAATTTTCACTGTTTGCTGTCTTCAATTGAAAATTAAATCATACATCATTTTTTCCGTTCTTCCCACAAGACGTTGTCTTCTCTGATTCCCCATTTTGTTGACATATTCTTCAATCTGGCTACATAATCCAATGCACAAAATACTACCAGTATTTGTTGTGTTCACAAATTCTTCATCTACTTGAGCATTGCAATTTAGCAGACATCGACCTGAGGAAGTAATAATTAAATTCACTGGAGAGGGTTTGGATTGGTCCTAAACCTGATATATATTGATGATTCCAACCTGCATGCTCCTTTGGGTCATTCCATATTTTATATGGTTATCCTACGTTGTAAGAGTTGATATTTTCATGTTTGCAATGAGTTGTTTGCTGCCGAAATGAAACTTGCTGTCGAAATGAAAATTGCTGTCGAATTACTATCGTTCGATTTGCTGTCATTCATTCGCTGGCCATAAAGTTTGTTCTTCCTCAAAACCGGGTGTACATTTCCTGAAAGGATTAAATGCTGTATCTCTGGTCGTTTGTCCGTCCAGTTTCCCTGATCAATATTGAGTTGAATATTGATACGTCTTGCTACACTTTCGAGCAGAGCTCATTGTTCACTGGAAATGATGCTTGCAACTGAGTAAGGCAGAAGCAGTGATTTTTCCGAGCTTCATTCACGTCACATTTTGCAAGTCACTGCTTTCTGGGAAGTATAAAACGACTTTCTGGGCTTCTTTTTGTTGCTTTCCGTTCTAGAGGTCACATCCTTCGACAAATCTGCTTACACGTATGTTGCTAATACTCTTGGTAGGATAGGGGTGAGGTTGGACATTAATTGATAGTGAGGGTCCTTGGGGAATTCTGTGATTCACAGCTTTGGTCCACATAAAATTCAACACAACCTTAAGCCCTCCAGCACAATCCTCCATCTCGTCAGCTCAATCGCCAACTCCATTCCTCTCTCGCCTCGTTGCTTCGACCCAACAGCAGCTTTACGTCTACATCATCAGCTCTCTTATACATGTCAGCGCAGATATCAGAGTAGTTACCTGCATCAGAGAGGAGAGAATGTTCTAGGTCCGGAATTACATCGTCTGCTTTGCTTTTATCCTAGGTATGTTTCCCGACATGACCTCTCCCGCCACCAGCAAAACAGTCCTGAAGCAGGTTGGGTCTGCGACGAAATGCCAGACATCTGTTAAGGAACAACCAATTGTTACTAACATTTTTTTACTAGACTGCCTCGAGAAATTAGCTTCAGGAATACAACTCAAACGTTCGCTATCAAAATATCCCATTCACTTCTGCTTCCCACCATTTCTTCTTTGTCATCTACTCCGCCACCTATCTGTCCACAATTTATCAACTTATTATCGACAAATCATCTGTCATGTTATCCACCGAGCTTGTTTTAACGGAAGGTTTCAGTTCGACTGTCACAATTCCTACTAGGAAGGGTAAGAAGTCTTTTCCAAGTCCTCTGATTACACTTTCAATTAACTTGTGCGTATAGCTGTCGGAAAACGCAAAGATCAGAAGTGGGCCAAAGGGTTCGCGTCGCTGTGCGACGACCTGCCGCAGGGGCCGTCTACGGCAAAGACTTTGGGCGCACCTATACAATTCATTCCTAAATCGACAACATTTTTGGAGGCGCTAGATATTGAAAAGGATGAGAGCCCCACCGTTTATACACCGCGATCTTCTACCAGTTCGGATAGAGCTTCAGGCAAAGAATCAAATTCTGTCGTGTCAACACCGGGATCATCTACCACATCGGATGTAATAAATCCCGTCGAAGTCCAAGATTCTGCCGAGGAGCACTTGAGTTCATTGTCTTCATTAAGTTCTAATAGTCTAGTTTGTCCGGAATGGATCGGAACCAGCCAATTTCAAGTTAATTTTGTACTAGAACTACAGAAAAGTGTAAGTCCTCAGAAATTCGCTAGACAAATCTCATATTTTGTAGGGCGCGTTACCAGAGCACATTGAAATTCGAAAATTACTATCTAGTTCTCTCGATACTTATCCGTACGACCCCTTAACATACATTCAACTCGCACAAATCGACAACAAGCTTGGGTTTTGTGACATTGCCGCAGCAAACGCGCATAAAGCTTTACTATTGATTAGTTACGGTCTCCCGTCTTCGGATTCGCAAATCACTTGCGCACTTCCAAAGTTAAATGCAACATTTCTAGACTGGACTGATGAGGTTCGAGCCACGGTCGCAAAACGAAATGTCACATCATCGAGCCTTGTAATCGACGACGACCTCGACCATTTGCGCCTCCAAGCATATCAGGCTCTTATGGAAGGTTTGGTTGGTTGTGCTGCCTTTTCAGAAGCGCTTTTTGTCGTAGCGAAAGAAGCCCTAAGACTTTATCCTCAGGACTATCAGCTAGATCACTTTCGGATGATAGCTAAAGGTCGATATAAGGAACGTTACATGACTCTCAAGGCTTTAAATTGGCCTATTAAAACTTTATCCTTAGTTCTAAAAAAGGGCAAGATTATGCAGAAGAAATACCCTTGGCTGAACAATGGGCTACATCATCGAACTCCTAAAATGGTACAACAGGTCAATGAAGGGCTAACAAGTTGGAATAGCATTGAGATTCGACCTGTTGTCTTTGAGGGCAGCTACATTAACGAATCCCAAAAGGATAGTAAGGACGAGAATTTCGACGTCGGTCCTCTCGGCATTTTTGCAAAGCGCGACATTAAACAAGACGACATAATCCTTATCGACCCAACTCTTCTGAGTATATCTAACGTTCCGGCCAGCGAACTCCAATATTGCGACGCCTGCAATTCCTGCTTAAATCCACCATATGTCCGACGCGAAGACATAGTATGGGCATCTTGTTGCGATCGAGTCGCATTCTGTAGCGTTGAATGCAGAGATACAGCTACAAAGGGCTATCACAGTATTCTTTGCGGGAATGATCTGGACTGGCTCTACAAAGATATAGAAGATATCACTCAAGCCTGGGGTGCCATCAGTTTCTCCCGCTTAGCTGCTATTGTTCTCGCAGACCAGAAGACACAAACATCAACAACGGTTACCCATCCGCTTCAGCATCATCTACTTACTCGCATGGCTGCTAATTATGCGCCTCCTTCAAAGATCGAGCCCGGTCAGCTCTACGATTTCTCGTACCAAGAGAACATAGTCTCACCTTGTAAGATACTACTTACCTTAGGTGTCGATATCTTCAAAACCCGAGGTTGGGATCTCGAGGTTATTATGACGGCGTTATGGAGGCTAGATAATAACGCGAATATGGGCCGTACAAATATCTATCCAAAAGGCGAGAGCCATCCGCATCCCTCTAGACTCCCCACGCCTCCGTCGGACATTCCTCAAAAACGAGTCGGGAATCCAGTACTCGCGGACAACACCCGTAAATTCCACGCCGAGATAAGTACTATCAACATTAATCCAAATTACCTATTTTTCAACCATTCGTGCACACCGAATGTATACTGGTCTTCTGCACTCCCATCGCCAGAGATGGATGTGGAAGGAATGAAATGGGATGGAGGTCTTCTTCGACCGGGGAATAGCGCGGTGAGATGTGTGGCGATCAGAGATATCAAGGCGGGTGAGGAGTTGAAGATTAGTTATGTGGGCGATCCGCTTGGGATGGGGGAAGGGAGGGCTAAAGCTGAGAAGAGGAAGGAGACGAGGATTGCGCTTGAGAAGTGGTTTCCTGGGGGGTGTGGGTGTGAGATTTGTAAGATGGAGGATGAGGATGCGAGGGGAAAGGGGGGAGTGAGTTGGTATGCGAATGTGAGGAAGCACGATGATGGATGGATTGGGTGGAAGTGAGTGAGTTGGTGTGGGAGGAGATGCGATGGTATTACATATTCGATGTGGTTGCTTGGATTTCTCAAATACAATTATCACGAAGGAAGGAGGGTGTACGATCAGGAAGGAGATATAGCGATGGAGCTTTTTCTCGGGCATGCTGCGAAGTTTTATTAGCGATATTCTTAGATTGGTTTTATTTATGGAGGATACTTTACATTGAAGGGCAGCGTTGGTTTGATTGCGATGGGAACGGCATATGTTATGATGGACTGAACGCTGACTGGATGGTGGATTGAAAGTGTTGAGACTTGAGAAAGAGTTGTTGGTAGATGGGGGGGTTATTTGTTAGAGGTGAAATGGATTTAAGCCGCGTGTGGGTTTTTAAGGAGAGTTGATGGGAATGAAAGATTACGACTGGAGATTTGGGTTCTCGTTGATTGTTGTGTAAGTGTTGTTGCGTCTACGTGATCATGTGTTGTGTAACGTGGTCTTCTGGTCTCTTTCGCATTGCCGCGAGCTTCTTCAGACGGCATCTCAGGAAATCCAAATTTCCTTCGGGTCTTGTGATGTTTTGAGGAATTATCAACGTCTTATCCCCTGACCATGCTTATTACATCAAGTCTTGAAAACCAGCGTGTCACGTAGCATGGTGTAAATGTGTTTGAGACTAATATGAGCTTCGGACTCTAATGAGATTTAATGTGATAGACATCACGTATAGAACATGGGCTGATCGCTGATGATACCAACATCTTCGACACTCTCTCGAAGATGTATGCTGGGGGATGGTAGTGGAAGCATGTAATTCATGGAGATATATGAAGGTCATACTTCATCCAGATTCGATACACACACCAAGTTGTAATTTGAGAACACCGCGGTATTTCGATAAATGTTCTGTTAAAGAAAAGGTGAGAAAGTATATCTATCATTAGAGTTTTACTGTAGGGCTTAGCTCTTCCATCAACCCCGCAGAATCAAGATCGTTCCAGACGAGTCGAAAACTTTGAAATACTGACGGATGAGTTTGGCCGACAGTTTATCAATTATGACGACGTATTTGTCGCGGGTCTAAACATTTTTTGAAGTGTTTTGGAGGGGTTGGTTTTTGAGGAGAGTTCAGACTTGGAGGACATGACGACGGCGATGTTGTGACTTCAACACCACGACTGCATCCAAATACCAGACATTACGAATATATCGGAAACAAAACTACGCGGCTTTCATATCGTTCAACAGTTCATGGCCCGACCAAGAGGTTCGCGAGCTTTACCACTACGGGTTTCTTTACCACCATAAGTTTAGTTGTGCATCTTTCATCGCAGCTCCAACGTCGCAGCTCCAACATCACAACTTCAATATCACGACTTCGAGGCAACGACTCATCGGCTATACAACCAAGAACTCAACACTTCAGCGACGTCTCGCTGACGCAATCATAATCCAAAAAGTCACAATGCACAAACTCTCCACCTTCATTCTCATCATCCTCACTATCACCATCCTCATCCTCACAACCACCACAACAGCCTACCCTATCCCCAATCCCCCTACATCTCACCCCAACCCTCAAACCTTCAACCCTCACCCTCATCCCCTCCCCAATTCCCCCCTCCCCCTCATCCTCACAAGAGCCAAACCCCTCCCACCACCAAACACCCCCCTCAAAACGCCCCCAACAGAAACAGCAGAGGGTATAGCGAATGCGGTCACGTATGTGGATTGGACTGGTGTGATTATCGCGGCTGCGAAGACGGTTTGGGGGGGTTGAGGAAGCTTTGGGGGTTGGTTTTTGGATGAACTTTTGGGGGAG